TATTATTATTATTATTATTATTATTATTATTATTATTATTATTATTATTATTATTACTAACACATACAATGATCACTTATCCAAGTCAATAGCCTCATTCTGCTTAATATCAAGCTCAGCTCTTTGACAACAGTACAGAAATATTTTACTATTGTTCCCCAGGATTTTGTGATACTCACCTAGCCTAATCCCTGAAGTTCTTACTTATACAGCTATTCCAATTCTCAATTAGCCTTGTAATCACATATCACACTTAAGAGCAATTTCAATTCAAAACATGATTTCATTTTCTGAATAGAGCTATTGATGTTACAGTAGAAACAGTAGATCATCCACCAGAATACAGAGTCCTTGACTTAAAACTGGTGACTTGATGACCATTTTAAGTTATGATAGACTTTTAAAAAGCTACTTACAACTGTCCTGAAAGTTAGAAATGCAAAGAATTAACACTAAAACTCCAGGCCTCTTGTGGTTGTAATTTGAGTACTATCTATATTCAGAATGTGGATTAAAGTATCTTGAAATCTATGAAAAATACTATATATGTCTGGTATACTCTTCTGACCATACTATGGAGTCCTTTAAAATGTTGGCCAGAGGAGCATAACACTCTTCTTCTGTTCAGAAGGTTGTCAAGATACTGTCATCTTATTGCACACTAAAATGTAGAGCACATCCCAACTCAAAATGCAAGTACAATACCTGAATAATACTGACATTGCTGCAATAGAAGAAAAAGACACATTTTGTGAATATTCAGAATGTAGATTAAGACATTTCCAAATCTATACAAAATATATACCTGGTTAAATCTTATAGGCCATACAATGGAGTCTTCATGAATGTTGAGTGATTTGGAAGAGAAAGCATTTGGGTCTACCCATCCAACTTTGACTTTTGTAAATGTGTTATTTGAATTTGTGACCCAGTTGAAAATATCAAATGCAGCAATTATGTGCCCTTTGTCATCAAAAGAAATATTTTCTCCAGCACTGTTTTGAAAGGAAGTATTTCTTATAAACTTGTGGAGCTAAATTGGAGAGAGAGAAAATGATTCTAGGAGAACCTTCATAATAATCCTAATGCAATTTAAAACGAAGATTTAGAGGAGGGAAATCTACTGAAGCAGGAGAAGGATAATTCATTCAAACCAGTTGTCTGGACAGAGTAGTGATACTACTCTAGGTTTGGGAGACATATTTGGGAGATGAATTACTTTTAATTTACTAAAAACTGTTCTGTTCAAGTGTGCTATGTTTCTTTTTTTCCTTATGATTTGAAACATGCTACCAAAGTGATCTATTCTCTATCCAATTTTGGAAATGGAAACTACAATTTAAAATAATAACATATTGATAAAGAAGGTTTACATTGTGTTAACAGAAACACATATATACAAACACACTCAAAATAAACAAACAAAATAGCAAAACAAAAATATTATATATCTACAAATGTTATCTTCATTGTCATGGCAAAGTGGCTTGCATAGCTGAAAGAAGCAATGAGCCAAGATGGAGAGATCATATTGGAGAGTTCTAAAAAAATGTGGTCCACTGGAGAAAGAAATGGCAACCCATTCCAGTATCCTTACAAAGAAAACTCCATGGACAGTATCAAAAGGCTAAAAGATATGACACCAGAAGATGAGCTTCTCCATTCGGAAGGTGTCCAATATGTACAGGGGAGGACTGGAAAAAAATTACAAATAGCTCCAGAAAGAGTAAAGAGGCTGGGACAAAGCTGAAAAGATATTCAGTCATGGATGTGTCTAGTGGTGAAATAAAAGTTGGATGCTGTAAAGAACAATTTTGCATAGAAAGCTGCAACGTAAGATCTATGAATCAAGGTAATCTCGATGTGGTCAAGAATGAGATGGCAAAATTGAATAACCACATCTTGAGAATCAGTGAACTGAAGTGGACAGTAATCAGCAAAGAGTATACTTATGAGTATAGAGTGGAGATGATGAATGGATTTATGGAATTGGATCTGGAAGACAGCATCCCTCAATTACTATGGATGAGGTTCATAACATTGTAGAGGAGGCAGCAACTAAAATCATCCGAAAGAAAAAGAAATGTAATGAAACAAGTGGGCTTATAAATAACTGAGGAAAGAAGGAAAGGGAAAAGGAAAGGGAAAGAAGAAAGGGAAAGATATACTCAACTGAATACAGATTTCCAGAGAATAGCAAGGTTAGATAAGAAGGCCTTGTTAAATGAACAATGCAAAGAAATAGAAGAAGACAATAGAATGGGGAAACCTAGATATCTCTTCAAGGAAATTGGAGATATCAAGGGAATTTTTTTCTGCAAAGATGGCACAATAAGGGACAACAATGGTAGAGACCTAACAGAAGCAGAAGAGATTAAGAAAAAGTGGCAATAATAGACAGAGGAACTATACAAGAAATATTTTAATGTTCCCGATAACTACAATAATATGATTGCTGATCTCAAGCCAACATTCTCTATCACAAAGTCAAGTGAGCCTTAGGAAGCTTTACCAACAACAAAGCTGGTGACAGTTGAACTATTTAAAATCCTAAAAGTTGATGCTGTTAAAGTTCTGCACTCAATATGTCAGCAAATTTGGAAAAGTCAACAATGGCCACAGGATTGGAAAAGGTCACTTTATATTCCAATGCCAAAGAAGAGCAATGCCAAAGAATGTTCAAACTAACATACAAGTACACTCATTTCACTCACTAGCAAGATCATGCTCAAAAATCATACAAGCTAAGTTTCAGCAATACAAGCTGGGCTTCAAAGAGGAAGTGGATTTAGAGATTAAATTGCCCGCACTTTTGACTACACTAAAGTTTTGGATTGTGTAGAACACAACAAATTGTGGCAAATTCTTAAAAAGATGAGACTATCAGACCACATTCTGTGTCTCCTGAGGAACCTGCATGCAGGTTAGAACTAGACATGGATCAACTGATAGGTTCAAAATAGGGAAAGAAGTATGACGAGACTGTATATTGTCACCCACCTTATTTAACTTATATGCATATTATGCAAAATCATGCAAAATGCTGAGCTGAATGAGTCACAATCCAGGTTGTTGAGAGTGTGGTTGCGCAGCAGTTCCCTCGACACTTGGATGAAGCAGTCTATCTAGACCCATACCAGTTGGGCTTCAGGCCGGGACACAGCACGGAAACGGCATTGGTCACGTTGGTCAATGATCTCTGGAGGGCCCGGGACAGGGGTTATTCCTCTGTCCTTGTTCTTTTGGACCTCTCAGCGGCTTTTGATACTGTGGACCACGGTATCATGCTGCGGCGACTCGGTGAGTTAGGAATGGGAGGCACCGTTATGTGGTGGTTCTCT